TCCAGTTTTAGTCCATTGTGGTCTGAAAAGATTGTTGGAATGATTTCAATTTTTTAAAATTTGCTGAGACTAGATTTGTGACCTAATATGTCATCTGTCATGGAGAATGTACAGTGAGCTGATGAGAAAAAAGTGTATTCTTTACCTGTTGTGTGAAATGTCCTGTATATATCTGCCAAAAACTTGGAAAAATTACTTAAAAATTTACCTAGAAGAACAAATAAACGGAAAAGACAAAACATTTTTTTGAAAAGAAGAGATTTGGGGGGAAATTGCTTTGCCAGATATTTAAAAAATATTTTAAACTGCTATAATTCAACAGTGTGTTACTTCCACAGCAGGAAAAAAATAAATGGAACCTCATAGAATATCCTGAGAGAGACCCTAATGTGTGTGTATGTGTGCATATGTGTGTGTATGTTATGGGTAAATGTGTCCTTTAAAGTTTCATGTATTGGAACATAATCCCCACTGTAATAGTGCTATGAGGGTGGGAAATCCCATTACAGTAATTGAAAGGTGGGACCTTTATGAGGTGATTAAATTGTGAAGACCATGCTTTAGTGAATGGATTGATCCATTCATGGACTAATAAATTGATGGGTGGCAATAGGTGTGGTGCTGATGGCTTTAAATGGAGAGTGAGGGCCAGCCCCGTGGCTCACTCAGGAGAGTGCAATGCTGGGAGTGCAGCTACGCTCCCGCCGTGTGTTCGGATCCTATATAGGGATGGCTGGTGTGCTCACTGGCTGAGCGTGGTGCGGGCGACACCACACCAAGGGTTGTGATCCCCTTACTGGTCACAAGATCACTGGCTGAGCGCGGTGCGGGCGACACCACACCAAGGGTTGTGATCCCCTTACTGGTCACAAGAAAATAAATAAATAAATAAAAGAAATAAATAAATGGAGAGTGAATGAGAAACTTCACTCTCTATAGCTCCTGCCGTTCTCACCACCTGATTCCCTGAGTCGCTGTAGAGTTACCACCAACCAGGCTCTCACCAACTGTGCACCACAGACTGTAGTTTCCCAGCCTGTGAACTGTAGGAAGTAAATTTCTCTTCTCTATAAATTACCTAGTTTCAGGTATTCTGTTATAAAAAACATAAACTGACTAATACAGTGTATATATGAAATTGACAAATGATAAAGACAGCATCACCAGTGAGTGGTGAATTTAAGGCTTATTAATTAAAGATGCTGAGACGGGTAGTTAATTATTCACCAAAAACTAAAGTTAAATCTTCATTTCATGGTATATCATATTAACTCCATGTGAAACAAAATTACATGTAAAAGTTAATATATATGTGTGTATATATGAATATATTAAAATAAAATAAGAACAAATATTTATTGACTCCTTGAATACTGTTCAACTCATTAAGCTTTTTTCTTAAAGCTTAACTTTCATGAGAAAAGCATATGCCATAAATAAAATTAAAAGGCAGACAAAAAAACTGGGTACTGACTCTGTACAAGCATTATAAGTAAATGTATAAAGAACCTTAATATCTTTCACATATGTGTGTGTGCATGTGTTTGTGTGTGTGTGTGTGAGAGAGAGACAGAGAGGGGGAGAGACGTCGTACAGTTAACTCATTGAGAAAAACACTAAAACCATAATAGGTAAATGGGTAAAGGAGAATCCGACTGTTCACAAAATGTAACTTTAAATTATTAGTAATTATATTTTTAAAATGTGCAACCTGTCTAAAAATTTAAAAATTAAGGACAAATAAAATCATCCACAAAACATCATTGTCTACCTCTCAAATAAGAAAGTTTAGTGGTTATATAACAACCACAATTTTTTTGAAGTTCTTACAACAAGCAAATGGAGGGGACACACTTGGGTGGGAGGGGGGAGAGGGAGGAGGGAGGGAGGTTTCGGTGATGGGACATAATAATCAACTACATTGTATACTGACAAAATAAAAATCATCAAAAAAAAAAAAAAACTGTATAAAAGCTGCTTGCATTGTGAATTCGGGGCCGCTCCTGTCCTGAAAACGGGGCGGCCTCCAGCATGCTGGAAATAAAAACCTCTTGCTTGTGAAAAAAAAAAAAAAGAAAGTTTAGTGACGGCAGGAGCACAGTGGGACGAGCACACGCACAGGCTGCGTGGGGAGCAGCAGCTGGCACTGCCTTTCAGAAATGAGTGGGCATTAAAAATCCTTAGCCTTTACAATGTTTATGCCCTTTAGCTATTAGTTCAGATTATTGGAACATATTAGAAGGAAATAATCTAAAATACCAAAAAAGAAATATTCAGGCACAAAGATGTAAACTCTATTTTTATTTATACGAGTAAAAAATTAGAAATAACAAGTATATACAAATAAATGGTACTGGCATCGAAGGTACTATCCTAAGTATTGTTAGACGATAAGGCCCCAATATAGTAAAATACACAGATACATTTCTAAGCTAAAAAACTAAAGGCCAAGTGACCTCACAGTGTACTGGACTATTGAAGATGCCCCCAAATTCAAATTAAAGACAGTGGTAGAAGAACGTGGTCATCGCTGAGTACTTGGAAAAACAGGAATGTCAACCTCCCACAGGAGCAAGCACATATTCACGATGAAAGAGGCAATTAGGTTTCATTCAGCACCATCTGTCACATGAATGATGCCAATATAAATCTATGTCATTTGTAAATTTCTTTTGAAATTTTATGGAAGCTCTTATTTATGGCATGTTTAGACCTAATTAATGTTTATACATATTTAAATGGCAATAGAATAAAAACAATTCACACAATTAAACTAATGAAAGATACAAATGAGTTAAGCACATCTGAAAAATCCTGATGATTGTCAACTGCTATATTCAGTTAAACTGATTTAGGCGTATTGCTGAAAGCTTTAAAAGTAGACAGTACAGTATATGGGTTTGTCCTTTACAGTTTATTAACTGTTTTGCTATAATGTTTGAAATCATTTCAAATTTTTGAAAGTATTGGGCATTATACCTTAGGTAATACTTGACTACAATATTACTTTTATGGGAAAATTAGATTTGATTCCTATAATTTCAACACATAGAATCTTTACTTTTTGTAAGAAAAAGGACTTCCTCAATTTGCTTGAATCCTGTATGGCATTACAGTACATGGCATAATATTCATATACAAAGTAATATAGTTCTACATCTTTATTTTGCCCAGTTATTTGGCCAATTCCTTTTTTTCCCCAGATGGTCTGAAGTATCATCTAGATTCCACATGGTACCTACTATCATTAGTAAACCCAATTATCCCTCAATATACTTTAACAAGCATGCAGAAAGGCATAAACTGGAAATATAAAAATAATTAGTGTTTGTGCAATTCCACACCCCTAGGAAAAGATAAAAACCAACTCCTGGAGCAAGCTGATGGGACAGCCTTCCTATAATCCAGATCTAAATCCATCCCTTTCCCTGTGCCAACTTCAGCTATCTTCCATTCACTTAAACCTTGGTAAGAACCAATATTCAAAGGGGGAGATAAGAAGCTGGAATCTTGATTTATGTTTGGATAGAGAAAAGGAGAGAGAAATAGTTGTTCACAGTCTCCTAATTAAACTCACTTCAGTGAGGAATACAACTGTGATGACACTGTCTTCTGACATTCTAGGACCTTCCACCGAGAGCTTGTAGAGATAATGCAAAGTCTCTGGAAACTGTGGAAAGTTATAGTCACTGAGAGCTCTGTAAAGGAGAATAAGGCACTGAATTAGCAAAGAAGAAGAAAACACATTCTGTATTAAAAGTGCTAATAATGATAAAGAGAGAATCCCATTATCCCCATATCTTGTACCTTGTAGATAAAAAGAAAGATATTCTCTGATATTTCCTAATCCAAGGTAAACTATGAATTCTAGATAGATGCTGGAGAATTTTATCTACCTTTATCACTGTCAAAGTCTCTTTCCTTAATGTCACCCCTCTTTCCTGTCTCTCCCATTCTTTGCCACAGAACAGAATGCCTTATTTTAAGAGTGCAAGATCACGTCAATCCTTGACCAAAGGGCGAATAAATTTTCAGTGCTCAATCCAAGATAGCCACATGCCAGTCACCTTCGTGGTTTTGGACCAAGCTCTTCCTTTGAATGATATAAGACAGAAGAGAGTTTGGGACTACCCTTGGTTTCTCAGGAGAAGAGGTGGTGAGCTCTCATTCACTAAGCCATTCTGTATAACACACTTGGGCAGTGGCCAGGCTCACGGTTGTCCTGACACAGTGGCTTAGATCAGATTGGTAGGGACAGGATTGGGAAGGATGATGTGACAAAATTTTTCATTTTAGAACTCCAGTCTGGTCTTCCAAACCAGTGCTTCTCAAACTTTAATGTGCATACAAATTACCCAGGGATCTTGCTAAAATACAAATTCTGATGCAGTAGGTCTGAGGTGGGCCATGAATTTTTAACTCCGAGGTCATGCTTTTGCTGCTGGTCTGTGGGCCAGACTTTGAGTAAGAAGATCCAAAGGTATTTCTTAAATATTCTTAGGTAGAATGACAATTAGTGGCCACGAGTAGGGTGAAGGTGTATTACACTTTTACAAAATAAAATTTGTTCCTGAAATATATGTACAAACAAGATGCCATTTTTAAAAGCACCAAGATTCCACAGACCGTATTGACCATACTTTCTGGGTAAGTCACAACTTCAAGTAGTCTGTCGTTTGTTCCTGAAATATATGTACAAACAAGATGCCATTTTTAAAAGCACCAAGATTCCACAGACCATATTGACCATACTTTCTGGGTAAGTCACAACTTCAAGTAGTCTGTCGTTTTACAAAGACCCTGTATCTTGATTCTTGATTAAAAAATCTGATCCCTATAATCAGAAGCTTGATATTAATTGAAGTGCTAACTAGAAAAATCCCCTTTGCAGTACAAGAATAATAAAAGTCCTTTTCCATTATTATATCCCAAATTTATTTGGCTCATTGAACATAGATTTTGACTGGACCTCTTTAAAGTGGAAACACATTTAAAAGTGATGTGTGCAGAGCAGGAATCAGCTAATATCAGAGGGGGAATAAAACACTCATCTCTAGTTTTCTGTATCTGAAAGGAAAAACCTGTGCCGCAGAAGGATGGTAATGGCTATCTGTATCATCAGGTAAGAGGGTAAGGAAAGGGAAAAATACCCTAAAATAAAAATCCAAAATAATCAAAGAAGTAGAAATATAATGGCAATTTAGATCATTAAGAGAGATCTGGAAATTGGAATATGCCAATTGTGTTCCCACATGGCTTAATCGAACGAAGGTAAAGAAGGTGGGATAGAGACTGAGAATCCTACACAGAACCCTCTGTTCTTACTTGGCAACGAGGTAGACCCCATGATGGTGATGCAGCGTTTGGGAAAACTGGTTCCAGCAATTCTTTCTCTCTAGAGCAATATCCACCTGTTGTAGTCCAGAGCAATTCAGCAGATGTCTTAGTGCATCTCGTGCATAGCTAAGGCCCCAAAGAAGAACAGAGTCATCACCTGACAGTGACCTTCACATGATTAGTACACAGGGACTACCTTTTCATTCCATCTTGGGCAAGATACAGGTTTTGAGAAAGGGGATATCTTAAAGGAAGGAGATTGCTAAATGCTCTTCATCCTTTCTGATTAACAGTACATGGGGTGAGGGGTGAATTTGAAATTTTAGCACATAAAATCTAGGGTTAATCAGAGAACGGTCTATTAGTTTATCAGCTTATTTGTAAAAGATGTTCAATGATGTAATGACTTGCTAAAGGTGTTTCTTTTCTTCTGTGGATGCCTTAAATAGGATATATTCTTATCCACTTGGGATAATTTTGTGCATGTCTGCTTGGAGGACGGGGGGTGAATTATATATATTAATGAGACTGATTGTGTTTTAGAGCTCTGCCTGGCTTAGAAGTTCATTCTAGACAAGCACAAGTAGCAGAGAGCTGGGTTGGGGTCTTCCCGCAGGGCAGTGAGACTAACTGTGCTCTTGGAAAAAAGGGGGTTGCTGAACCTCTCCCTGTGTAGACAAATGACTGCATGTTGTCATAAGCCCACACATTGCATTCCCAACTGCAAAACAACTTTACGATTCAGAAAGCACATTTGTACACACCATTTTATCCTGCATGTACAATAACCCTGAGAAGTTACCATCAGAGAATAAATGGCAGAGCTGGAATGTGTCTGGCTTCGGATCTAATGATCCTCCCTGCTCTCTCCCCCCTTGGTGGCCTCTCATTGATGTGACAGTGAGTATGGCAGGAATAAAGAGTCTTCTGTGGTAGTGTTTCTTTATATGCTATACACATACTCAGGGAAGGTAAACTAAGTTCTAGGTACTCAGGACAGTTACTTTTCTGAAGGTATTCCACCCTTCAGAGGAGAGAAAACTGTGATAAATGAATACACTGTACACGGGCTCATAAAGAATCTCACATGAACCCAAGAGAGTAGAAATAGTAGACAGCTTGGTGCTTATCTCTTATTTAATCTGAAGTAACCAGTACTGGCTCACAAGTGCTTGTCCTGTGCTGTCAGTCTCAGTTCACCGCTGTAGAAGATTTGGAGCATGAGGGCCATCAAGAGCTGGGGGAATAACTGGGCCACAGCTTTCTTGTAAGAACCAACTGGCAGCAACGTGCACAGGGCCTGAGATGCCTATAAGGGAAGGAAACCAGAGTTAAGAATGTAACCACCTCACCTAAACCCAGTCAGCCTTACAGAGGGGAGAAAGGGAGGGACTCTGCAATCCTCCCCCAGACTGCTTGAAGGAAGCCTGGAGCATGAACGTGTATTCATTCATCCAATAAGAGCTACTAAATCAACTGTGAACCAGGAACTGTGCCCTGAATTCCGTAGCAAGGGGCTCTCAAAGCACTATTTAAAAAACAAACAAGCAGGGCTGGCCTGTGGCTCACTTGGGAGAGTGTGGTGCTGATAACACCAAATCAAGGGTTAAGATCCCCTTACTGGTCATCTTTTAAAACAAACAAACGAAAAAACAAACAAACAAATAAACAAAGCAAGACAAACAAAAAAAGCAAAACAAACAAACAAAAAACCCTATTGGCAAACCAGTGGGAAGCAACTTGGTTCCCAAGGAGGACATACATCCCAAGGCCTCCTTCACATGTGGCCATGAAGAATAATCCTCCTAATAACCCAGATCCTCCTTGTGCTTAAACAATACAGGGAAGTGAGATATTCCAGGGGAGGCAGGCCAGGTCATCACCAGATTTTTTGGCATACTGACCACTGCAATAAGCATCCACATCAGAAATACACATGCCAACATCTCATATTTGTGATGCAATGCCAATTTTTTGAGGCAGGCCAGGTCATCACCAGATTTTTTGGCATACTGACCACTGCAATAAGCATCCACATAAGAAATACACATGCCAACATCTCATATTTGTGATGCAATGCCAATTTCTTTTTCGACTATATCTCTGTAAGTCCTGAATTTACTATCCCAGGAAAGGAGATTTTGGTCCTTAGGAGATATATAACAAGGTACACAAATGAGATTAGGCCTTCTCATGCCTACAAAAGTCTATGTGATCTAGCTGGTGGCTACCTCTCTGATATCTCCTACACTTTCTATCTTGCTCAATTCACTTTGGTTCTTTGGCCTCCTTGCATGCACTGATATACCAGGTAAACTCCCATCATTACAGAGGCTTTATCCCTTCTGTCTGTCTAGAACTCTCCCTCCCAAGGATCACACCCTCTAGTGATTCAGGTCTCTAATTAGATGTCACCTCAGTAGAGAGGCTTGCCTGACCAACTTACCTAAACCCTGCCAGTTCATTTTCTTTACCCCATACCACTTTATATTTCTTCTAAGCTTTATACTATCTGACATATGACACACTTATTTATTCACTGTCTGTGTCTCTTATCAGAATGTGCGTTCCACTCTCCGTGTGTGGCACATAGTAGGCACTCAATAAGTACATGGTGGATGAATGGATGCGTGAGAGGAGGACTGTGTCAAGAAAGCATGACTGAGTCTGTGGGAAGATCAGGAAAAGAAAGTTGATAAGAAGATACACTCATGTGATTTACCGCCACAGGCATCATGTTGGTAGTATCCAGAGAGAAACGCTTTTTTTGTTCTAGGGTCTCCTGCATTTCTCCAGGCTTCGCTTTCAGTATCAACAGGATTGTCCTCAGCACGTGAGGGGCCACGCTTGACTCAGATCCTGCCGCCTGCCACATCAGAATCAGAGTGCTGCAAACACAGCCCCCACCCCCATGATGAGAATCATACGTTTGTCCTTTCCTTCTTGACGTGATGACAAGAATCAGAACGAGTCTTAGCTTTGCATCTTTATATAGCAAAGACACTGCAGTCAAGTCCAAAACAGACTAAGATTCCCATTTCCAAATATCTCCTAAGTCTCTTATCCTCCAAAACAGAGGAAGAATTTAAGTGAGATCTATGGAAAATACAGTTCATAAGTTCATTTCCTACTGCTGTTTAAATATCTGTCCAGCTCAGTGTCAAGAACTGACTAGCTTTCAACACCCTATATTCTCTCTGCTCCTCCCACCTTATGATCTTGTTTGTCCAGGGATACTAGAATATTTGAAAACCAGCATGGCAATATAAATTAATATATTAATCAATATACAAAGGAAAACCTTAAACTGTAAATAAAGAACTAAATAAATTAATAAAAAGAATAAAAAGCTAAGCTCAGAGGACTGAGCCATTTTGTCACGTTACACTTGAGTGACAGAAATGTGACTAGAACCCTGGTTTCTCAACCTCTAGTCCCCTTACTCATTTTCCTATACACTCGGACATTTTTCAAGATTTTTCTTACTATTTTTCATCTTAAAAACTGCTGTATACCTCTGTCCTGATATATATCCTTGTTAATCCTTGCTGGGTTCTGAAGCTCAGTCTCTTTGCATTTGGGTTCCTAATATAGAGGCCTAGTCCCCTGGATCATGGACATCCCCAGCTCTGTGGAACCCCTTACCCAACTGTTCTTCCCTGCAGGGCTCACACATAGAACCATGCTTAGAACCACATGGACATCAGATCTCAGCTGCCCTGTCTCTTTTTCTTACCTCTTGTTCATACCTTCTGGTTGGGCAGTTCTTCCATACATTTCTCTGGTTTAGCTTGACTCCAAATCCTGGCCTTGCCTACTCTAATCCTCACCTACAATTGCATAAGACTTGCTGACAACTTTTTAAATTAAGTTCACCTAAATCTAATTATGCCTGATTTCTGTACCTCCACAGCACATATTGTTTGTACTGGATTCATTGGCACCTTTTATCCTATATCCATGTGGGTATATTCCCCCTTCTCAAAAGAAAAGAAAAGAAATGCTTGAACACTGATAATACTTTATACACAATGGGTGCTTAGTTCCTAAATGAGAAAACACTGAGTCTTATAAAGATCTTTTCAGGAATTTTGTGAATAGTAAAGTATTTTGCGAATTTAAGCTTTCTAAATAAATACAATCTCGCAGTTGGAAAAAGAAAGTTACTGTATATAATTTTTTTAGAACATTATGATTTCAATGACCTTTCACAGGCATTAATTCATTAGCCCATGTAACAGCTGTATAGATAGAAAGAACTTTACTCATTTCACAGGTGAGGAAATTGAGTGTTAGGGGGTTTTATCAAATTTGTGTAACATCACACTGAATGTAAGGATCAAGGTTGGGACGGAATCCAGATTCAGATGCTTTCCAGCTTGAGTCCTTTCCATAATATAACTTCCTGCCTTTTATGCTATTAATAGTAGAGAAGTAATCCCTTCCTTTCCAGTGTACAAACTGTAAAATGAGTGGTGTGATATTATAAACTCTTCTAATGTGCCTGTTAAATTCATACTGTCACATAGGCTCGCATTAGCATTTTTTTCTTCTTAAATATTTCTTGTGATCCTAGACCACAAATTTCAAATGAACAGTTAAGGGACAGGGGACTCCCAAATTCCACTTGGGAATTTTTTAATTTTTATTTATTTTTAAAAATCTTTTCATATTTATTTTTCTTCCTTTTTTGATCTTTTTTATATTTGGGGTTTTTTAATGTTTCATTATTTCATTGGTGGGTAGACATATCTTATGTTTGTCCTTCATAAACAAGAAAAACACTCATGAATTTTTTTCCTCTCACACACACAAAAATGAGTAAATTCACAAATGGAAAGGAAAGGGAGAGGTATGTTCCTGTGGGATTTGTAGCAGAACACAATTTATAGCCTCAGATAAGTAATACTGACACTGATCATTTCTACTGTGTGCCAGATATTGTACAAGGATACAAATAACATATATGCTCTTATTTAAGCCTTACAATCATCCTCTATGAAGCAAAAATAGATTCTTTCTTTCAGGAAAAAGAAACCAGGTGTGGTCATGACAGATCAAGATTTGAGCCCAGCTCCATCTGACGGTGGAGCCTGTGAACAAACCTGTAGCTGAAGGGGGACGGAGGGTGGCTTACTTGTCTGCTGGGACTGGGTAGTCCATAAGTTGAAAGATGACCTTCTTGGGTGAAGCACGTGTCAATAAGGTGATGACCTGCAACATAGCATCCTTCCTAATGTGAGAAGAATTTTCACTTAGTTGCTTATGAATAGCATCCACAATCTTAGACACCTAGAAGAGAAACTTCACAAGTCAAAAAAGTCTCCAGTTCCGTGGTCACCTCTAAACCAAGGCATTTCTTGAGCCTATGAATTCAGTCCTTCTTTGAATGACCAAGGCAGCAATTAACATGCAAATAAACATTAGCAGAAAGCATATTTATATTTATGTCTACACAGTGCAAAATATTTATTTGGATGAGGAATAAACCTGCACATTTGTGGAGAATGGGGAAATACCTATTTAAAAAATTTTTTAAAATATATTTTGGGAGGGTAGATTTCACTATAGAAGACATATAAGTTCCGTGTAGAAAAAGACTGTGGTTACTAGAGGTGGGGACAGGGGAGGGGGAGGTTAGTGAGAAATTGATAAATGGGCATAAACAATGATTGTGTTTTGTGATGATGAATATGCTAATTATCCTGATTTGATCATCACATATTGTACACAAGTATTGATAGTCAACTCCATACTCCACAAATATGTATAATCAATTATGTTTCAATTAAAAAATAAAATAAAATAAAATATGAATAATTCAAGTCCTTACAAAAGAAAGTCAAAACAATGGAACAGAGGAACAATGGAACTATATTGGTTAACAGAGGTGAGAAAGGGGGGCAGTGGTAAGGGAGGAATTGGTAAAGGGCCACAAAAAATGATTACATCATATAATGTTGAATATACCAATTTAAGAACAAAACAAAACAAACAAACAAA